TCTTGGCCACGATGAGGGCAAAGGCAGTGAAGATCAGAGGCACGAGGAACTGCGCCGCCACCATCTTCCAGTTGCGCCAGCTGTACATGGCCCGCTTCATGAACATGGCGTAGAACTGCTGGCAGCACAGGTAGAACTGCGAGGGGAGAGGCAGGGTCACGGTGAGCCCTGCCAGCTGGGGACACGTCACCCCATGCAGCTGATGTGGAAGTGACCCCAAACCACCGCCATCCTTTATGCATCTGCCAGCCTGCAGCAGGGTCTGCTCTCCAGCTAAGCCTATAAAGGGATTAGCAGGGCAGCTGCCCAGCTCCAGCTCATCCAGCTCCATGGCTTCTGAGCGAGTCACAGTCACTTTGAGATCTCAGGTGTTAAAAGCAGCTTTAGCCATGACCTTTACCTTCCTCCACCGCCCAGCAGCTGAGGCTCCCCAACAGGATTACTGCAGGGCAACCGGGTGAGCACCTGCGAGTGCCCCGCCCAGCCCCTGCCAACACCTTCTGTGCTTTTCAAACCCAGCAACATCCTCCTCCCCCTCTGCCTTTGAGACTGCCCTTGGGAAGACAAGGGACATTGATCACAGGCACTGAGGCAGCGGGGCATGAAGGGCTGCCAGGGAACTGGAACACGAGCCTAGCGAGGGAAGGAAGATGGATTTTCTCATCTTCCTTCTGGAAAACCCCAACGATAGAACAACGGCAGGTGGAAAACCACATTAGATCACCTTGAAGAGCAACTTGGATCCCAAGATTAATATAAAGAGTAACCCTATCAACCCTAAAAATCATTTTTCTTAATGATGCAGATTCCAACTTGAACTTTCAATTCGATTGTGGTTCCAAACCACGTGCAACAAGAGCAACTGTGGGGGAGGCTCCACCTGGTAACCCTACTTCAATCCCCTCCCTTCACACATCATCTCCCCGTTGCTGCTGTACTGAATACCCAGCACTCACCCCGGTGTTGAGCTTGATGCTGGAGCAGTCCTCAGTAATGAGCGCCCCGCTGTCGTCCGTCATGTCCGTCATGCCACTCAGGCTGCTGGAGTCATCCATGGCCCAGTCGTTGGAGCGCCTCTCGTGCTGGTACTGCAGAGCAGGCAGCTGGATGGCCTGGATATCCATGCTGGAGTCCACGAGCTTCCCAACCCTGTGCCAGGAGGGAAAGCAGGTGATGAAACAAATCCAGGCAGGTACAGCTGTTCTGAGCTGGGGAAGCCAAAGCCCAGAGACCAAAGCCAACGAGTGCCCCGTAGGGCTGTGCTGGCCATCACCAAAGCACATGGGCACTGGTAACCCCTGCACCCACCTGAGGAACACCTCCTCCATGGTGGTGACCGAGGCGCCGTAGCTGGCGATGCCCAGCTCCTCCCGCCTCTGCTCCAGCTCCGTGAACAGGGCCTCAAACCTGAGCAGAGAAGGGAGACATCAGACACTGACACTCGTGGGAGGGGGCATGGGGTAAAGACCTCTGGGCATCAGTCCTGCACCTGGCTGGAGTCTTGCATCCACCCCCAGGGTGACCTGTGGCTCTGAGCACACCCCTGTCCCCCAGGGCAGACTTTGGGCTCCACTGGCTGTTCTTGCCTCAGCTATCACAGAATCATGGAAACACAAAAGAGTTTGAGTTTGGAATGGACCTTACTGACCATCTCATTCCACTCCCTGCTTCCACTATCCCAGAGTGCTCCAAACCATATCCACTTTGGCTTTGGACACTGCCAGGGATCCAGGGGCAGTCCCAGCTGCTCTGGGCACCCTGTGCCAGGGCCTGCCCACCCTCCCAGGGAACAATTCCCAATTCCCAATATCCCATCCATCCCTGCCCTCTGGCAGTGGGAGCCATTCCCTGTGTCCTGTCCCTCCATCCCTTGTCCCCAGTCCCTCTGCAGCTCTCCTGGAGCCCCTTTAGGCCCTGGCAGGGGCTCTGAGGTGTCCCTGGAGCTTCTCTTCTCCAGGTGAGCACCCCCAGCTCTCCCAGCCTGGCTCCAGCCCTTGGGGCATCTCTGTAGCCTTCCTGGACTTGCTCCAGGAGCTCCACATCCTCCTGCTGGTGCCTCCAGACTGGGAGGGAGCACTGCAGGAGGGGTCTCACAAGAACAGAGCAGAAGGAGACAATCAGCTCCCCAGATCTCCTGGGTCTGTAGATCTGATTTCAGAGCCAGAATCCTGCCTTATGTGTGCCACCCTCAGCACTACGGGAGGAACTGAATCCCATTTTCCATGACCAGTGCTGACGCTGGGAGCAGCTCCCCTTTCCAGCAAGCCTGTGCGACAGTGTGTGAAGAGAAGGGACCCCCCAGGGAGGGGCAGCAGAGGACAATGCCATTACCTGTGGGTGCTCTCCTTGGGCAGGATGAAGGACAGCTCTGCCCCGGCGTTGCTCTCCATGGTGGCGTTGGGCACGTACTGGCAGATGAGGCGGGAGATCTCGCCCAGGTTGCAGTAGGGCTCCTTCACCATCACCATATGATATCCAGCCCCTGGGGGGAGCCACGAGAGAAGGGAGAGGAGGGTCAATCCCAGCCTGGGCAGGGGGCTGGGACAGAGAGGGATGCACAGGCACCGCTCTGTACCAGACACGGACATGATGCAAGAGCAAACGTGGGGATGGGCACCAGGAGAGGCTGAATAGCAGGATGGGGAGCACCAGCCATCAGGCAAGGAGCAATGGATCCCCTCCCTGCTCTCTCTACCCCTCCTGCTCCTCCCTGGCCAGGAGAGCACACGGAGCACAGCCTGCCCTGCTCCCATACCGTATTTGCGCTTGAGGAAGAGCGAGGAGCCGCAGCACTGCAGCTCGCCCTTGGCCATGATGGCTATGCGGTCCCCCAGCAGGTCTGCTTCGTCCATGAAGTGAGTGGTCAGCAGGATGGTCCTGTTGCTCCTCTGCTGCTGCAGGAGATCCCACGTGGCTCTGCGGGAGGCTGGGTCCATCCCCGAGGTCGGCTCATCCAGCATCACCACCTGCACTCAGGAGAGGGGAGCAGGTCAGAAAGGGCTGGGGGAGGCCCAGCAGCACGGGAGGGACAACCTCAGGGCCCAGGAGAAACCTCACAGCAATGATCTTGGGGAGCAGCTGCCAGGCAGCAGAGCCTCAGGGCATGGCCCTCAGAGTGGGGGTGCTCCTGCCCGCTCCCCACTGTCCCTGCTTCTCCCACTGGCTCACTGCAGATGAGAAACAGCCTGGGAGCCACCCCAAGGAGCTGCAGTGGCCCAGGTGTGAGGGGGCCCAGCAAAGGCACCTGCCTTGGAGTCCCCGATGAGGGCGATGCCGATGGACAGCTTGCGCTTCATGCCCCCGGACAGAGCCTTGCTCAGCGAGCGGCGCTTGTCCTCCAGGCCCAGGATCCTCAGGATGTGGGTGATCTCCTCAGGACACTTGGAGGCTGGGTATCCCTTCAGCTGCCAGACAGGGAAGGGAGGGATGAGCCCACCTGCAGGGCTGCCAAAACCCCCCGCACTCCCTGCTCCACACCCAGACAGGAAAGTGGGGAAGCAGAGCTGGACTCCTGCCCACCCCTGCAGGAGCTGGCACAGCTGGCAGGGGTGGCTCCATGGAGTTGTGTTCACTGAGACCCTCCGCTCCTCCACCAGCCAGCAGATGAGGTGGGAAGAGGATGCAAGGGCTGTTCCGTTTATCATGGAATCATGGAACAGTTTGGGTGGGAAGGGTCCTATAAGATCATTTAGGCCAACTGCTCTGTCTTGGGAAAGGGACACCTTCCACTATCCCAGGCTGCTCCAGCCCCATCCAACATGGCCTTGGACATATTCAGGGATCCAGGGGCAGCCACAGCTTCTGTGGGTAACCTGTGCCAGGGCCTCATCACCCTCACAGGGAAGAATTTCTTCTGTATATTCCATTCAACCCTGCCCTCTCTCAGTGTAAAACCATTCCCCATTGTCTTGTCATTCCAGGCCCTTGTCCAAAATCCCTCTCCTGGAACCCCTGTAGTCACTGCAAGAGGCTCTGAGGTCACCCTGGAGCCTTCTCTTCTCCAGGTGAACACCGCCAGCCTGGCTCCAGAGCAGAGGTGTTCCACCCTCTGACCATTTTTGGACTCACCTGATATATCTCACCACACTTCCCCACCTCCAGCAGCCCAGGTGCCTCCCCAAGGGCTGTCCCCCTGCTCAGTGCCAGGCTCACCCCTGCATAGAAGTGGAGGTGCTCTTCCACTGTCATGTTGTCGAAGAGGACGTCGTGCTGGGGGCACAGCCCCAGGCTGCGGCGGATCAGCACCATGTCCTGGGAGATCTCGTAGCCGTTGATGTAGGCCTGCCCGCCCGTTGGGGAGTGCAGACCTGTGGGGAGCTCAGGGTGACCTGAGGGTCCTGATGAGCATCCCTCCCCCACCAGTTTTCTGCCAAAAACCAGAGCAGGTCTGTCTCGTGCTCAGCCTGGGGGACAGCAGCTTCCTCCTGCTGCAGGACGGGCTGCAGGGCACCCACAGGTGGGAACTGGCCCCCAGTGCAGACAGGAGAGGAACCCACAGGTCAAACACGGTTCTGAGCCATGCAGAGAGCCAGGCAGGGCCAGGGCAGAGTTCCAGGAAGGTCCCGTGAGCCCCCTGAGGTGCCAGGAGCAGCTCAGAGCAATAGAGAACAGAAGGGGACAATCAAAGGTCATTGTGTCCCTTGTGCCAAAATAGGTATCCTGGAGCCCAGCAGATCAAGAATGACAAACAGCAGATCCACCTTATCTGTGTTACCATGGCAAAGCCTACAGAGAGCAATCCTGGACAGCAGATCCAGTCTCTTCTCACAGCTCTCCAGCACAAAACCTGGCTGCCATTTCACCCACTGGCTGACCCCACTCTTGTGGAGGGCTGAGCAGGGACCCCCATGCTCCTTCTGTGCCCCTCTCACTACCCTGGCACTCCTAGCCAATGGCTCAGGAAACTGAAGGTGCTCCAAGGAGATCAAAAACCCCTCCCCACCCTCAGAGACAGGGTCTGGCTCTCGTTCAAGGGTAAAGCCATGAGCTCCTGCAGCAGGAGACTCCTACCTGTGAGCATGGACAGAGTGGTGGTCTTCCCAGCACCGTTGTGTCCCAACAGGACAGTGATCTGCCCCTCGTACATGTTCACTGTCAAGTCCTTCACTGCCTCTTTTGTCTTGTTTCCCACTTTGAAGACCTGTGGAGATGAAGTCCATGAGTTGGTGCTGTGCTTCAGGCAAGTGCCTCAGCTCCACCCAGCAGGCAAAGCCTGGGATGCTCACGGGGTGTTACCAGGAGACAACAGGTCTAATTCAGGTTAAATTCAGATGTCAACAAGTTAAATACAGATGTCACTGCACCTCTAAGTACACAGCACTTCATCCCACCACAAAATGCAGCCAGCTCTGGGGAAGAGCCATACCCAGCCCCAGGGCAGCACAAGGACACAGAAGCTGCCTGCAGGTAACAGATTTTACAAAACCAACATTATGGTGTGTTTGTGCCCTGCTGGGCAGTCAGTACCTTGGACAGGTGCTTTATTTTGATGCCTGACACGAGGTCAGCTGGTTCCTCCTCAATGTACTGACTCTTCAGGGCTTTCTCAGGGTCCTCCTCCTCCTCTTTCTCTTTCCCCACAACAGTCCTGGGCCGCCCACACCAGTACGAGGGCTGATGGAGGAAAGGAGAGACAGAAATCAGGCACAGGCAGAGCCCATCTCTTCATCCCAGCCTTGGCCATCCTCCTCCTCCCACAGACATCTCCCAAGGATCTCCCAGACTGCTCTCCTCGGCCTGGGAATTACCAAGCAGAACATCTTCAGCAGGCAGGGCTGACACGATGGAACAGCTCCTCCTGCCCTCCCCCATCTCTCCCTTACAGCAGCACTGCCTGTGCTTACACAGCAGCTCTTCCCCATCTTCATCAACATGGAAAAAATTCCACTGAGAAGTAAAATCACTCAGGCAGAACCATCCTGCCCAGGAGAGCCCATGGATGACCACCCCCTCCAAAACTCCTGAAAAACACTAAATACAGCCTGGGGTCCAGCTGCTGCAGTCACAGCCCCTTTTTTTTGACGTGGCTCTCTAGGAATGAAACTAAGTGTTTGGGACCTTAAATCCTGGTGAGAATAACAATTCAATAACTAGTGGATGAAAATCAGCTTTTGTCAATGGCTGCATCTCTGCTTCCCCAGTCTGACTGCAAGAGGGAGTGAGATGCTGGCATGAAACCACTCTAGGATGAGGAACTTGGAAGGGAGAAGGAAAAGCCTCTCCATCAAATAACAAAGGATCCATCTCCAGTATCCAAACAGAACAGATTCTCCCTGCAGCCATGCAGCTGCAGTGCCCATGCAGCTGCAGAGGGTGATGCCAAGTGTTTGGCTTGGCAGAGCGAGGGTGGCTCAGCTGAGGGGTGACACCCACCCCTGGCACGTGGCAGCTGGCAGTGACACACAGGTCACCCATGCCCGCCTGCATGGCAGCGCTCAGGGGTGTCAAATAGCTGCATCTGGCTCCTCCCACCTGGGCTTTCTCTCCAATGCCTTTGCTTGGGCCTGGAGGCATTTAAAAACACCCTGCATGCCAGAAGTGCTGGGAGAGAGCTCTAAAGCCAATGTGACCTTCATCCACAGTAAAAATCAACAGCTGCATCAGCCTTTAGTGAGGACATGCTGCAGCCCCTGTGATTTTGGAGGCCAGATGGTGCCACCTTGGGCCATCTGTCTGGCCTAGTGCACAGCACAGAAGTGGTGACTGTCCCCAGGGATGCCCCTCCAGCCCAGGGAGGGGTGCAAGCAGTGCTCACCGTGAGGAAGAAGTACCAGGGCTGTGGCACACCGTACTCCCCAGGGAACACAGCCTCCACGTACCAGGCCACCACACCATACAGCACCGAGTCCAGGAGCAGCATCCCCAGCACCTGGGCCAAGGTGAAGTTGTCATCCACGCTAACAGGCTTCATGAGGTCCCTCCACTGGATGCCAGTCCCTGCAAGGCACATGGGACACTGCTCCCTCTGCATCCCCACGACCATCTTCTCCAGGACTGGCAGAGAGCAGCCCCTCTGCCAGCTCACTGCTCCCTAACCAGGAGCCCCTGCACAGCTCTGTGATCTCTGCCGGTGGAGGGAAAAGAGGCACTGACCCCTTGAGGCTCCCCACCCCACCATGATCCTTCCATGGCATTCTCTGCCACTGCCTGGGAAGAAATGATCCCTTCTCCAGCATCCCCCTTCCAATCACTACAGCCACACCTAGTAAATGCATGGCTCTGCGTGGAACCAACAAATTTAAATTAAATTCTAAATTACATAAATTAATTCTTTTAAATTAAAGAAATTAAGGATATATATTGTGAAGGAGGAAATGCAATGGTTCCCATCCATCAGAACAGAATTCCTCTGGTAATTAAAGTGAGGATGGTCCTTTGCACAGCCCAGGGGCACGGGCACAAGTTCAGAGAGCCCTGGTATGGGAGCAATCAGCTCTAATAAGAAGGAAATTGCTTCTTCTCTCCAATGTCTCTCCACCAAGGCAGTGGCACCCCACCACAAAGGAGGCTGACAGGAAGGGGATGCTGCTCTCCCCAGAACAGATGGCCCTGCTCACCTTTCCCTTCAAACATGCCGATGAGCTGCGCCCCCATGGCCATGGCCACGTTGGAGATGAGGCAGGACGCCAGCTTCTGGCTGTGGGACATCAGGTCGTAACGAGGCGAGATGAAGAAGTAGGGGATGTAGGAGAAGAAGTAGAGGAAGCCACCAGCAGCAGCTGCAACGTTTGCTGCCAGCACAGGGAAAAGCGGGAGGGAGAAGGTCAGGGTGAGGCCACCCAGCACTGCTCACCAGCTTCCCACCCAGGGACGTTCCAGATTTGTGCACTGAGCGCGGTTATGTAGGGGCAGCACAGGGACACACACACATCCCAGCAAGGCAGGAGCCTGACCCCAACCCCAGCCCCAAGGTGGGCAGCTGCAGAAGCCTCTGCCTATCCCAGAGCAGAGTCTGGGGCCAAGCCAGCCAGATGAGGCCCTGAGACAGGAGCTGGTCATACTACCAGGGAATGGTCTGGGTTGGAAGGGGCATTAAAGACCACCTTGTCCCACCCCCTGCCATGGGAAGGGACACCTTCCACTATTCCAGGTTGTTCCAAACCCCATTCAACCTGGTCTTGAACAGTGCCAGGGATGGGGCAGCCCCAGCTGCTCTGGGCACCCTGTGCCAGGGCCTGCCCACCCTCACAGGGAACAATTCCCAATTCCCAATATCCCATCCATCCCTGCCCTCTGGCAGTGGGAGCCATTCCGTGTGTCCTGTCCCTCCATCCCTTGTCCCCAGTCCCTCTCCAGCTCTCCTGGAGCCCCTTCAGGCCCTGGCAGGGGCTCTGAGGTGTCCCTGGAGCTTCTGTTCTCCAGGTGAGCACCCCCAGCTCTGCCAGCCTGGCTCCAGAGCAGTGGGGCTCCAGCCCTTGGACCTGCTCTGGTTTGGGAAGCAACAGTACCCGCATCCCTTTCCACACACTGCGCAGAAAATGCAGCCAAAAATGGGAAGAAATGCCCCCTCACAAGTCCCAGTGTCAGTAACAAAAGGAGGCAGTGCAGGGGGACTCACCTCGTGAGAAGAAGGTGCTCACCATGAAGTTGAAGGAGATGGAGGAGATGGAGAAGACGGCGAGGAAGGTGAACACCAGGGTGGGGTCACTGTTGGTGAGCACTGCTCCCTGTTCACTCACCTGCCAAGAAAATCTTGTGAAGCCCAGAGCTGCTGGAGCCAGCTGTGGTGTCACCAGCACAGACCTGATGTTCTCCAAGTGCTGGAGACAAACTCAGGTGGGTGAGGACAGCCAGAAACTCCCAGACCACTCCAGAGGGAGGAAATGCAGGTTGCCCTCGTGTGATGCAGGATCTAAGGGGCAGGGGATACCCTGGCCAACACCCAGAGAGTCCCCTCCAGCTTCCCCTGCTGTGGGCACATGCAGAGGGGAGAGCTCAAGGAGCTGCAGAGGCTGTGGGAGCAGGGTGGCCCTGCAATGTCCCTGGAGCTCCAATCCCCACCTCCCTCTGGGGGAGTGACCCTGCCATGAATGCAGCTGTGGGGCAACACTGCTCCTTTCAGTCTGGGAAACCCAAACTCCAGTCTTTGGAGGAGCCCTGGGACACCAGGACAGTCCCATGGCAGAGTGGCCCTGTCATCCTTGTGCCTTGCCAGCACAGAGTTTGTGGCCTGGGGACAGACGCTCACCTTGACACAGAAGAGCACGGTGACGAAGAACACGGACACCAGGAGGAAGAGGAAGAACATGAGGAACCAGGCACTCCAGTGCAACCAGTTGCTGAGGCCCATCATGTGCATGTACTCCTGTGGGAGGTCACAGTGTCACCCACAGCTGCACCCACACTCTCTGGGCACAGCCAGGGCAAGGCACAGGTGGCTTTCCCTCGTGGCACAAGCAAAGGTGGCAGCCCCAGGTACCAGCAGAGTGGTCCTGCACAGCCACCAGCACGGCGTGGTGTACTCCACCTCCCCAAACAAGGGCTGTCACATTGGAGGAGCTCCCAGAGAGCTGAGCTGAGCCCAAACCCAGAGCAGGGTGCCAGTGGTGCCACCAGGGCCACCCAGCACAGGGCAGGACAGCCAAGGCCTGGGGGAGGCCAAGCCCTGCTGTTGTAAGCACGTGGCTGAGCTCCAGCCGCCCCCACAGCACACGCACAACGGGTCTCTACATGCAAAAGGCAAAAACCTCCCTTCAAACAGGCTGAACTCTTGAATCCACAAGCTCTGGAAGCCAGGCATGTTGCCCTCTCTCCCAGCCCTGGAGAAACACCATCCCTGTGGTCCAGCACCCCGGGCTGCCCAGCCTCCTCATGGCAGCAGGATTAGCAACATTCTTCCCTGAGGCTCGCTAATCCGCTGCCATCCTCCCCTCCTGCTCACTGGCTCTACACCCAGCACGGATTTTGTTCCTAATCTAAAGGCATCATCCATTGGGGAAAGCTGCAGAGGGAGGGGAGCACATCCCAGCTCTCACCTTCAGCTTCTTCTCCTTCTCGTGGACGACGGCGCGGACGATGTTGAGCGAGGTGTAGGTGAAGCTGAGCATGAGCAGCAGGGGCAGCTGGTTCTGGATGGCCAGGAGGAAGAGGTCGTTGACGTAGGCTGGGAAGGGGAAGCGCTGCACCACCACGGTGATGTTCTCCAGCAGGCTGGCAGAGCTGGCACCGCCGTGGTACTGCATGATGGCCCTGTCCACCGCGTGCTGCACCGCCAGGAACCCCTCCCGGAGATAACCTGCACAGCAAGAGCCACACCAGGAATAGACATGGCGCTGGAGGGACAAACAGCACTTGTGGGAAGGGGAACAGGGACTAAAACTGGAATACAGAGGAAAAGCAATATAAGAACCACTGTCACACGAGGGGCTGGGGAAGGATTGATACCACAGCAAATTCACTGAATCACTGGTTTGGCCTGGAAGGGACCTTAAAGCTTATCTTGTTCTACATCCTGCCATGGGCAGGGTAACCTTCCACTAGACCCAACCAGGATCTTGCATAACCATCATTTAGGAGGAGCTGCCAGGAAAACTCTGTTCATGGTTGCTGTCCTGCAGGATGGCTGTGACTTTGTTATGGGGAGATTCTCTGTCACAATCAACCTCCACAAGTCACTGGGCTTGTGTTTCTCCTCTTTTTCTTTGTAAACCAGAAGAATAAGCAATACTACACAGGTGGCAGTCAGAAGTATATCCTGTGACTCACACATGTGGTGTTAATTTTTGTGCATTAGAAAACACTGCAAATGTTTCAATTTCCCAACAGCAAGTGGGAAGGGACCCACAAGGATCATGAGCCCAGCTCCTGTCCCTGCACCCCAACAATCCCACCCTGGGCATCCCTGGCAGCGCTGTCCAAGCTCTCCTGGAGCTCTGGCAGCCTCGGGGCTGTGCCCATTCCCTGGGGAGCCTGGGCAGTGCCAGCACTCTCTGGGTGAAGAGCTTTTCCCTAATCTAAACCTCTCTTGACACAGCTTTAGATAAAAAAATCAACTTAAAATTGTTTCTTTTTAAGTGGAATTGCTGCCAAATGTTACCTGAACAGGAACTTAAATTCTCTTACAAAATCCCAAATGAACATTTTGAAAGTCAGTGGGCTAAAATGACCCACAGAGAGAGAAGATAACAGTGGAATTATGAGATTGGGAACTTTGTTTGATATTAACTCATGTACTGAGCAAACACTCTGCTTTATTTACACACTGTGAGCAAAACCTGTTTGCCCACTTCCTTGCCCTCACTCTCCCTGGACACTGAAATCGAATACAGAGGGAGAAATCCCACTGAGGGAAATATTCCCTTTGCCACCACAGGAGGAGTTCCCAAAAATCCAGTCCTGAGCCAGCAGCAGCTCCAACAATGTCCCTGCTGGCTCATGCTCTGCCAGTGGTTTGGCTGCCCTTAAACACCGCAAACCATAGAATTGCTCTATTTACTTTTCAAGTACTTAAGCAGTACAATAAACACAGGGCAGTTTGGATAGTGATATAAAATTTCCATTAAAAATTGAAATGGGAAAAAAATTAAATTTTAAAATGATTCATGCACATTAAAATTTACTCTTATCCAACCCTGCTCAGCAGAGGTGCCCAGAGGCCAAGCAGTGCCCATGAAGTCACACAATAAAATTTAAATAAAGGATAGCTATAATATAACAAATATAACAAAATTGTAATTATAGTCCAATTGCATCTAAGCAATGAATAATAATTCAACAAAATAAAGACATATTAATATAAAAATAATAATAAATTATTTATAATTAATATATAAATAAATATTAAGAAGCTCTACAGTAAATAATTAATATTTAAATAATAATTTAAAATTGTGACATTATTTGATGAATTGTTTATATATGCAGAAAACTGAATATAAACATCTATAGAAAAGCATAACCATTTAACTATTTATATATTCATAAAGATTTATATGTAAATTTTAACATTTTAATATATAAATATTTAATTGCTTGTATATATAAAATAAATATATGCTTATAACAAACAAATATTTAATTGTTCGCCTTATACAGATATAAATTTCGTGTTGATATAAATAATAATTCATTATAATTAACTGAATTTAATGATTTCTTTTAAAGGCACCTATTTCTTAAAAATCTCATAGCCTGCCAGGTGCTGTAGGAAGGTGACCCCAGGTCCTGGGCCGTGCTCACCTGGCGTGCCCCCATCAGCAAACTTGGCCTCGCGGGGCCCGGGCAGCTGGAAGAGCGGGAAGAGGTAACTGGTGTGCCAGTCCCGGTCCAGGTTGGGGTTCAGCCCCGTCTGCTCGCTCCGCGGGGCGTTCCTGGGGCTGTACTTGAAGCGCAGCTCATACTCCACCTGCACGGAGGGTTGGAGGTGGGTAGGACAGGCCCGGGTGACACCCGGCTGGGGAGGCTGTC